CAATGGCCAGCCATGTTTTTATGCACAACTGCAGCTTGCAATGGCCATGTAGCTTGCCAGTTTTGTCCATGGTAGTGGAGCTTGGTAGTTGAGTTTAGCCACTTTCAAACTTCAGATGCCATCAATTCAGCCTCAGATGCCACCAATGTAACTTTATACTAGGCACCGAGCTCCCAGCAGACGGCGCAACAAAGGTTCTCCTCGGCGCAGCCTTTGAGATGTTCTGACGACGATGGCCAGATCATCGGAGCTGCAGCGGCGGTGATGGTGGCGGCGATGCTGTTGGTCAGGCCTGAGAAGGTCTCTACACTGACCCCGCCTTGGACACGAGCAGTCACCACCTCCGAGTGGTGGATCATCCGGAAGTGGAACCTTGTCGCCCACAAGCCCTACATCTCCGACCAACTACTCCACCCTTGAGTCGACCAGGAGCCAGGATGGTAAGTGTGCAGTCCATGGACTCTATGTGCTATATTCGGGGTGGAGCTTCATCGTGTGGCCAGAAAGCAATGCTCGTCACACCGACATTCCGACTTCCAGGTGGGTCTGATGCGCCACCGACTTTGACCAGCCGAACCCGCGCGAGCGAGACTGAAGATGAGGTGATCCGCGTTGGCTCTCGTGAGCGCCGAGCCTCATGCTCGGATAGCGACTTCAAGCTGCTCGACCGATGAAGGATCTTGAGCCTGATTGCAGCAAAGCTGCAAGGAGTGCATCACTGGCAAGGCCTGTAGTGGAATGCACTCATGTTTTTGGAGTCAATTGAGACCTTGACGGGCATGTTTTCCTCTTGCATTGCGGACGCTTTTTAGCCGTGTTCAAAAGGCGCGCCACTCCCTACAAATTAAAGCACTCTGAAATATATAGGGCGTCGCAAACGCTGGTGCAAGTCAACTTAGGACCTTTTACGAGTTCACTATGAAAAGCACTCTCAGCGATGGCTGAAAGTCTGGCTCTTGGCTGTACTTTGAACCTTTTGCTGCTAATGACTCACAGAACATTGATGGTGCTCTTTGGATCTTGAATGTTTAGCAAGTGCGTTTTCCTTCCCATATCAACTCTGTAGGCCATCCTTTGGAATCCAGGAACAGTTGTTTTGTTAGTGCTATGTATTGTCCGGTGGAGATTGCAGTCTGCCGCATGGTGAGGGTATCGCCACAATGAACCTGTTCCATTAAAAGCAACGCAGCACTCGGTGAACATGTCAACAATATGTCGGCCTGTTTTGTGGTCAGCCTGATGAGCCAGTTATTCCAACAAATTCCAACAAGACTGGCGGCTATTTTGTTAAAGCAGGATGGCTTTGCTGCAGGTGCCTCACTCCGATTGCCCAGACATTTGGAAGGCTCGATTTGGTTCGACATTCCCCAACCGAAACGCCGAATTTTTTTCGGAGAGGGAGATGCGATGGCAACTCTGCGAAGTGAGCGTGGGCCCCAGCGCAACTGTTTTGATTCCCCAAAGACAAAGCAAACATAAGCAAACATTCTCATGAATTTATATTATGGTTTTGTACTACTTCAGAAGGAAGAACGTGTGTTTCTTCTGTTTGGTCTTATAACATCTATGTGGATCAGCCGTGGTCGATTTGAGAAGTTCATTTCGCGTGGCTAGTGTGGCACGGTCAATTACCACCCTAGTCTATTTTTAATTCTCTATAAGTGCAATTTTCTCTTCATACACCACTATGGTTGACACTGGGACAACAATTTTCTTGAAGGTTCCAAATTGAACACCCTTTCCCCGTAGAATCTTGCAAGACGCTTATGTCACAATGTCGAATTTCCTCCTTCATAAACAACAAGGACAGAAAAACTGTCTAAAGAAATGAAAAGAATCACACAGGTCAGCATTGGGCGAGCATGAGTCGTTGGAGGGCCTGGTGAAGGCAGGTTTTGGTGGTGTCAAGTCAAGCTCATTGGCAATATGCAGCTTGCAGGATATCACTGCGATGTACCGCGTGCTGTTGCGGAATCTGAACTACGATAGTGTAAGGCAAGGCCTCTTGCTGGCTGTTCCTTATTCCTCCAACCTGAAAGCATATCAAAGGGTAGGTCAAGTCTTCAAATTTGAGA